TGATCTTTTTACTCATGAAATTTGAACTTTAGTTCCTTTATTATAATTTTATAAAAATCTCATCTTTGTACAAGTTGATTTTGAGTCTAATTACAAATAAAAATTATACTTTTTTTTACTTTTTTTAAAAATCAGATTTTAATTCTTTCTAAAAAAATAATATTTTCATTTTTTAGAAATTTTTTTCATTTTTTAAAATATTAAATTTAATATTTTAAAAATATTTTTATTTTTAAAAATAATATTTTTTGAATTTCATAAAATCTTATTTTTATTATTCAAATTAAAATATTTTGAATTTTTAAGAAATCTCTAGATTTTTTTAATAATATTCAATATTTTAATATTTACATTTTGTATTTTTTTTTCAAATTTTAACATTTTATTTAAACAAAATATTTAATTTTAATATTTTTTTATATTTTGAAAATTTTATAAAATTTCCTATATTTTTAATTTTTATGTTTTTATAAATATTTTATATATTTTTTTTGTTTTTAAAAAGAGTTTATAAGTTTTAAAAAATTTTCTACACGTTTTGATGTTATTTAGTGCACAATAAATCGAAATCTGAAATAATTCATACTTCATTATTGCTTTGTTTTACCCAAATTTTTATGCACTTTCACCTCAAATATAACAAAAGAAGATAAATTATAAAAATATGTGTCTTATTTATAATTTATTTATTTATTCATTTAAATATTAAAACTATAGAAAATTTCTAAAAATAAAAAATTTAAAAATATAGAAATGTTTATAAAAATTCCAAAACTTAAATAAATAAAGTGTTAAAATTTCAAAAATAAAAAGTTCAAAAAATGAATTTTATTTTAAAAACTTTTATTACATTGAAAAACTAAATTTAATATTTTAAAAAATCTAGAAAAATTTCTAAAAAATTTGAAATATTAAATTTTAAAAAATAAAATATGATTTTAAAAAAATTCAAAAAATGAGTTTTTTAAATTAAAATATCTAAAAAGTATTAAGTTTAATATTTAAAAATTTTAAAAAAATTTGAAATTTGAGTTTTTTTGAAAAAATTAAAATTTTATTTAAAAAATAAAAGTATTATTTTTATTAGTAATTGGATCAACAATATTAAATTCAACTTATACGAATGTATGATTTTTATGAAATTATACTAGAAGGATAAATTTCAAAATTCTTGTAAATACAGATATCATTTACATAATGTAACAATTAATTTCATTTATTCAAGTTATTATATCACCAAAGTCAAAAGCTACATTGTAAAGTCAACAACCATGTTTTCAAGTCTCACGTCAATAGTTTTAATTGTAAAATATTGATTGAATTAGTGATTGATTAAGATTATCAAATTAAAATAATATGAAAATTAAATTTATATGAATTATAATATATGGATTAAATTTCAAATTTTAACAGATTATAAGAACCTTTGGCATAATTTAACCGATTAGGAATCCAAAACACTATAATAACTATAATTATTTTCATTCTAATTAAAAATGAACATTTCTTCTAGTTGAAGCAAAGAAATTCTGGCATGTTCTTATCATATATAGATATACTCATTGTTTCTCATTTTCCTTAGTAAAGACCTTGGAAAAGTTGATCAATTAATTAAATTAATTGACTTACATATCTTTGAAAATTTTCTTTTTTTTAAAATTGAAGTATGTTGCTTTGCTGATTCAAACTATCAATTGTTTAATTAGTGAGTGGAAAAGAAATTAAAATAATAATAATAAAGGAATATATAATGGATTTAGTATGGCTGCTGCATGGAATCAACTATAGGTGATAATTTTCAACTAACATTCACATGATACAATAATATAAAAATAAAATCAGATCCCACTTTGACAAACTGTATTCTTTTTGATTGAAGTGATCCTTTTGGCTCATCACTCTATATCCTCGGTTTAATTTCCACTTTTGCATGGGAGAGTTTGCTAAGCAAAAGTGAAGGAAAATGAGAGTTGATCACAGAGATGGAGATTCAGTTTCTCTAGCATTATTTGTAATGGTAATGTTGATCTTCAATACAAATTGTTGCAGAGCTGCTACAAAAACTGCACTTTCAGGGTATGCTATAATTTTCCATTAGCAAAAGTGTGAAGGCAAACGTTTTAATTTTTATGGCATTAAAGTTGTTCTAAAAACTTTTAAATTTTTATCCTCTTCAAGATTAGAGCTGTCGGTGGCCAGAGTCGAGTCTGCATTAGGTATCAACAACTTATATGTTTTGTGGAGGCTCAGCTTAGCTTGGCCTAGCTTGACCATTTGGACCTCAAATCAATGTGATATAAATTTTGAAATAATTTAAAATTTTGTGTATGATGGGTACGAAAAATTTGTGAAATCTAAAAAATGTTAATTGTACGTAACATTATAAAAAGGTATAAAATTTAATTAATTTTATATCATGTAATTAAAAATTTGTTTGATTTGCACTTTTGCTTTTTTAATAGAGAGTGAAAAATTTTAAAAAAATGAAAAAAAGGATAAATATTAAAAGCACCAATTAAATAAAATAAATCTTCTCATATAATTTTCAATATATATAGATAACCTATTTTATCCCAATCTTTTAAAATGTTTTTGAAATAATTTAGATTTAGTTTGAATTTAATTATTGAACCTATTCTCCTTTAAGAGGTTTATTGGCTTAATTCAAATTCATTTTTATTTTGATTTAAAATTAAATTTGGTTCTCCTAATTCAAGCTCAAATTCTTAGGTTTAGGGATTTGCTTTTGTACATTGAGATATGGTTTTTGGATTATTTAATTGTTAATTGGGTTAATTGTACTTTACAATTTTTTATTGAGCACTGAGCCGAAGTAGATATGGTATCAGAGTGAATAAAAAATTAATAAAATAAAATATATATGTAAAATTGTAATATTTAAAATTTTTTATTTGATTTAGATTAAATTTAGATATTAAACATATATATTAAATTTGAATTGAATTTCAAATCAAAATATTAAAAATCGAATTGAATTATATATTTTATTTTATATATATTTTAATTTTTTATAAAATTAAAATAATTATTATATATATAAATTTATTTAAATATTTTAAATATTTTATTAAAATAATATAAAAATTTTTAATTTTAAAAATCTATAAATCTAACTGAACTGATAAATTTTAATTGGAATCGAATTGATTTCAAAATAAGATAAGTTTGATTTTGAATTGAATTTTAAAATTTATAATATTATGCATTATTCAAAAAAAATCAAATTAAATTTAATTCAATTTAAATAGTTATCACTCCACTATAACATACTTAAGTTTTAAAAAATTTTCTTTATTTTTTAATTTTAATTTTTTTTATTTTAAAATTTTGAAAAAAATAAAAAAAGGCTAAAAATAAAATATAAAATTAGAAAATACAAAATATAAAAAATAAAAAAGGAAAAATAAAAAAAATGGATTAGAGAATTTTCGAAAAGGCAATAAAAAAGTTGAATATATTTACAAATCAAGGAAGAAAATCAAATTGAAATTCAAGAGAAAAAACAAAGTTGGTTTGCAAGAAAACCCATAATTGGAATAGCCTAGGCTCAAAAAAAAAAAAAAAAACGGAGGAACTATAAACGGTGATTTTTTTTTTTTTTTGTTTAGTAATATCAAACTTATACGTTAGAACCACATGGTGCTTTTCAAATAAGAACGTTTACCGGATTTCTGCTGTGTGTGGGCAGGCTAAACCATACAGAGAATGAGTGTGAAGTGACCACCCAAGAAAGAAGGCTATCTCATCGGCTGAAGAGAGAGTATGGGGCTTGGTTGACAGCAGAGGAGACAAAATCATGGTCTAAAAAAATCATGAAGGATAGCTCATCCAATTTCGTGCGATGCTCCCCTCCTGACTCGCATGAGGGTGAAAATTAGAAACGGCACGAGTCGGAGAAAGGGATGAAGGAAGGCAGCGATAAGTGCAGCGACCACTCACGTTCTGGTAAGGGTAGTATGGTAAATTTTATGGGGACTGAGTTGGTGCAAGAGTTATCGGCAGAGACTGGGGCGAGGTTAAAGGGTTTTGATAGAGATGATTCCCGTTTTCTTGCGCAAGAAAAGAGGGATATCACTGGGGTTTTAAATGCTGATTTAGGCGGCAACTGGGGTGATTATCATGCAATAATACCAGACCGTTCGGGTCGGATTCCTGATAGCCCAAAGAAGGTAGGGGATGGGGTCTCTAGACCGCTGACAGAGGTCCCAATACTTATTGCCAGTCCAAATCGTAAATGGAAGAGAGTTAGAGGAATACCAACCAGGAAGGCCTTGCTAGAACGGCCCCAAACTCATGCTGGAAGGAAACGTATCCATGAGATTCTAAAGGCGGTAAGGGAGGGTGAAGGTGATTGGAATAAAAAGGTTAAAACTCAAGAAGAAAGGCTGATTGTGGTGGTGATTTGGTTCATATATCAGCAGAGGTTGGCAAGGAGAGCCAACCCTGCCGAAAGCAATAAGTCTCTTGGTATGGAACTGCCGAGGATTAGGGGCACCCGTGCAGTTCATGAGCTGACCAGGCTGGTCAATGAAAATAAGCCCCAACTCATTTTCCTTTCGGAAACAAAAAAGAAAATGAATGAAATAGATTGGTTGAAGTATATGTTGGGTTTTGACAATGCAATAACAGTGGACTGCATAGGAAAAAGTGGGGGACTGGTGCTTATGTGGTTGCAGGAGGCGAATATTTCTTTGTTGTCTCTTTCAACGTCCCACATTGATATTATAGTAAATGGAGTTGAGAACAAAGGGAAATGGAGATTTATGGGTTTCTACGGAAGACTGGAGACACATGGAAGGTCGGAGTCGTGGGAGTTACTGAGAACCCTCAGGGATTGATGTTCGCTACCGCGGTTATGTGCACGTGATTTTAACGACATTCTGGCGGAGGATGAAAAACAAGGTGGGAGCCAAAGGCCTGCATGGCAGATTGAAAACTTTAGGAGGGTTGTTGATTCTTATGGTTTCGTAGAGATCCCAATGGTGGGGTCAAATTTCACATGGACTAGAACGGAAGATGGAGGAAAAATCCTAGAGAGGTTGGATAGGGGACTATGCGATACTCATTTTTTAACCTTGTTCCCATCATTGTTGGAGAGGCATTTGATGTCAACCACTTCAGACCATTTGCCGTTGTTATTTAGCTTACGAGAATCAAACATGGGAAATTGGAGAAGTAACAGGACTTTTGGATTTGAGAATATGTGGGTGGGCCGTGCAGAGTGTGAGGAGATTATTAACATGGAATGGAGAAATAGACAGCCAAAAAATATGGAGGATTTGTGTCAGGTGATGAAGGGATGTGGAAGAAATTTGCTTTCTTGGAGTATGTCAAGGTTTGGGAACCTGAGTTCTAAGAAAGTTTAATTAAAGCGAAGACTGGAACCCCATGAGCAAGGGTCTGACGGGTTTGAACAAGATAAGAGGGACCTTAATGATCTCCTACACCATGAAGAGGTGGTGTGGCGTCAACAGGCTAGGGAGATGTGGCTCAGAGAAGGTGACCGTGATACAAGGTATTTTCACAGCGTGGCGTCTAGGAGGAGAAGAAACAATGCAAGTAACAGAATCCAAGGAGAAAGCGGGCAATGGTATGACCATAGGGAGCACGTGGAAGCCGTTTTCTTGCATTATTTCGAAAACCTCTACAAGTCAACTAATATGGAAGGGGTGGATAGTTTTTGTGGGCTGGTAAGAGGCAAAAGTTACGCCCGAGATGAATAGGATCTTGGATGAGGATTTTTTGGGCAGAAATAAAAGATATGCTCAACCAGATGAACCCGGGAAAGGCGCCTAGCTCGGATGGGATGAATACAATGTTTTACCCGAGGTATTGGCATATCATTGGGAAGGATATTACAAATATTATTTTAATGTGCCCAATGATAATCTAGCTCTTCATGATAATCTAGCTATTCATGAGATTAACCATACAAATCTGGTGTTGCTAGCTATTCATGAGATTAACCATATAAATCTGGTGTTGATTCCAAAAATAAAATCTCCATGCTCTGCTAAGGACTACAAACCTATTAGTCTCTGCAACGTAGTCTACAAAATAATTTCAAAGGTGCTGGCAAATGGATTGAAAATGGTCTTGCCAATGATTATCAGTGAGATCCAGAGCGCCTTTGTGCCCGGTCGGTCCATTTTTGGCAATGCCATGGTAGCGTTCAAAACCTCATAGTTTATGAGAAGCAAGAGAAAGGGAAAAGGTAGTCATATGGCAATCAAATTAGATATGAGTAAAGCACATGATAGGGTGGAGTCGAATTATTTAGAGACTCTGATGAGGAGGTTCGGTTTCTTAGAACGATGGATTGCTCTGATAATGACGTGTGTGCGTGTGGTTACTACTCGGTTGATCAATGGTAAACCATGTGGTAGGATTTTTCCTTCACGGGGACTAAGAAAGGATGATCCTTTTTCGTCTTACCCCTTTATCTTGTGTGTAGAGGGATTGTCATGTCATCTTAGTAAAGCAGAGATTGATGGCAGTTTAAGGGGGGTGGCAATTAGGAGTGGTCCGCGGGTTTCCCATTTACTGTTTGCAGATGACAGCATTTTCTTCATAGAAGCAAAGGAGGAGGTAGGGGCGAGTTTACTACAAATCCTTTGTAACTATGAAGCTGCCTCCGGTCAGATGATAAATAGTGAGAAATCGGCAGTATTTTTCAGGGCAAATACAAAGATTGCAAGTCAAAACTAATGGATTTTTTTGGTATCCACAAACCGATGGACCATGGTTCGTACTTGGGCTTCCCTATGTCTTTTGGCAGGGATAAACTTGCTATCCTTAAACCAGTTGAGAGTCGGGTGTGGGCGAAAATACAAGGTTGGCGAGGTAAGCTCCTCTCACAAGCAGGAAGGGCTATTCTCATACAATCAGTGGAACAAACCATTCTAACAAACCTCATGTCCTGTTTTAAGCTACCAAGCAACTTTATAAATCAATTGTCTTCTTTAATGGCTGGCTTCTGGTGGAGTGATGTGGATGGGAAAAGGAAAATTCATTGGTGTAAATGGAGTCTATGTGCTACTCAAAGTTAGATGGAGGCCTTGGATTCAAAGATTTAGCAACCTTCTACATGGCTTTGTTGGCTTAGCAAGAGTGGCGACTAATTCAAAATGAGGAATCTTTATGCTCTAAAGTTTTAAATGCGAGATATTTTCCACATGGTACCTTTTTTAATGCAGAGCATGGAGTAAATCCCTCCTATTTGTGGACTAGCTTGCTAGAAGGTAGGAAAGTTTTACTCCAGGGATCCAGATGGAAGATCGATGATAGCAATAAGGTGGATATTTGGAGCGACAAGTGGCTGGATAAATACCAAAGTTTCATGGTGGATCAACCTAGGGGTTAGACTCCTACACTGTTGAAGGTAGCAGTCTTGATAGATCAAGAAATAAAAAGGTGGAAAAACGAAATTATTGATGAGTTATTCACAGAAGAGGGTGTGGCTAGGATTGTGAATATACCTTTGAGTAAATATGGGCCAGGGAACACTCTGATTTGGAATGATACTCTGCTTGGAAATTTCACAGTGAGGTCGGCTTATTTTAAAGCAAGGGAGGAATTAGGTAAAACTAGTCTTGATAAGAGTTAAAAGGCATCCAGCATGGAAGTTCATTTGGACTTCAAAGGTGGCCCTAAAGGTTAAGAATATTTTCTGAAGGCTGGTTCATGGTTATCTTCCAACAAATGGGAAACTTATTGGGAAAGGCATGCAGTTAGAGAACCGCTGTCCAGTATGTGGGATCATGGGGAAGTCATGGTATCATGTTTTCATAGAATGCCATCTGAGTCAGACGATCTGGGCAGAGATTGTACAGACAACTGCTTGGCCCATCTGTCTATGGTAACCCGGAGGATTTTTGGCTAAATCTTTTGTCTTTGGCAGCTCAAAAAGGGTCTTTGGAACTATGCATATCAGTGTATGGCTGATTTGGACAAATAGAAATAAATGCATTCACCAGGGGACATGTTTCACGTGTAAAAACCTTTTGGGAATGGCTCGGTAGATGTCGAGTGAGAGGTTTATATGAGAGTCTCGGAACGTAAGGATACAAGTCCAGAAGCAGGGAGACTGGATTCCTCCTGAGCGGGATCTACTCAAATTAAATGTTGATGCATCCTTCGATGCTAAAAAGAATGAGGCAGGGATGGGGGCGGTTCCGAGGGATTATGAAAGGAAAATTCTTCTGTCAGCTTGTTAAGGAGGAGCAATGGGAAGCAATGCTTTGTTTGCAGTAGTAAAAGCCATTAAATGGGGCCTGCAGCTAGCTTGTGATCATGGGGTTGAAAATGTTAAAAGTGGAGAGTGACTGTCTCCTGGCTATACAGCAACTAGTCCACGCACAAAATTCTTTCTTTGAAGGTGGCAATGTGATCCATCACATCAGGGTCTTGGTATCAGGCTTTCAGACATGTGGATTCCAATATATTAATAGGAGTGCAAATAGACTTGCTCATGATCTAGCAAAATTATCAGGTTCTTTAGAGGAGCAGCGGCTATGGCTAAACTCTCTACCACCTGAATGTAATGATTCTTCCGTGGTGAATGAATGAAAAGGTGCTTTTTCATAAAAAACACTTGCACGTTAGAACATATACTATTTATAGAAAAGATCAGTTGAAGAAATTACTCAACGTCAAAGATAAAAATAATTTATATATATTAAATTTCTTAAACTTATCATAGTGTCTATTTTTTCTCACTTATTTTTTTATTTTATTAATGATAAATCCTTTATCATTTTACCATATAACAAGTGTCCATAAGTCTGATTTATGTTATATCATTGATTTGTTCAATTGGGAAGAAACAGGACTTTGATGCAGCCTTCATTTAGCACCTTCCGGGCCAGGCTTGAATGGGTAGGGCTTAGATTCATGGGATACCAAATAGAATTTAAACGGGCTCTTCCTTTGTTGGAAACAAAAAAAAAAAAAAACATTTGTTTTAGAAAATTTTTTTGGTGTAAATTGATTGGCCCAATCTCATAGAGCATAGATGGCAAGAATAATTTCCCTCACCAAATAGTATTTAAGATAGATCATCCATAAAACTTAAAAATACCAACACAAATTACCAGCGAAATGGAGAAAGCAACAGCAAATAATTATTTCTTTTTTATTTTTGATATTTAAAATTATCTGAATTTAAACTCTAATTATCAAAATTATAAGTTCAGTATTTATCAATAATCGTATTTTGTTATTAGCTAAAATAAAGAGGGTATACATAATTTTTTTTAAATATTTAAGATTATTAAAATTTAATTTTAATTATTAAAATTAAAAATATAATATTTTATTAACAAATCACGTGATTATTAACAAATCATTCTTTCACTTTATTTCAAGTGTTCATATTTTTAATCAAAATAAAGTTTTTTTTGTTTTTAAATATTTTATACATTTACTTTTTTATATTTAAATTTTATTTTTTAGTTTTGATCAATAAAAACATGATACATCAACATTATAAAAAAATTTACAATATTAAATACATAAAATTAAAACTGTTTTCTTAATATGTATGAAAGTTAAAAAGGAAATTAAAATGAAAGGGAATAATTTTAATAGGTGGCGTGTTTTTTTTTTTTAGGAAAAAAGAAAAAAGACAAAAGTAGGATTGAAAACACGTTCGTGTCTAAATCACCTCATGTCATTGCAATTGAATAATGTTGAAGAATACCGTAGAATCATGGATTCCCCAAGTCCTTTGTCTTCTCCCAAACCACAAATGAAATTGGGAAAAGCGTTTTGAAAAGGATTTTTTTAGCATAATTTTTTCATTGGCCGGCTTTGCTGCACGACAAAGGGCTTGCTTTTGCTTCAATATCTATCACATGTTCAGTTTCATCACCTATTTCCTTTTGGACTTTTTGACCCTTTATTTTCAGCCACGATTTTCATTACTTCAGTCTAAGTTTTGAAATTTGAACATGCCTCACGAAATTTCTACAAAATAAAAAAAATGGTTAAAAACTAAGATTATGGTAAAATTTAAAATTTAATTCAGTTAATTTATATAATTATTTTTTAAAAATAGTATCTAAAAAATTTAAAATTTAATACTTACAATTTTTATTCTTATTTTTAGATTATAATCTTTCTTGTGAAAAAAAAAAACTAAGACTATATTTTTGTTGGTATTTTATTATTTATATTTTATATTTATTTTTGTAAAAATTAAAAAAATAATAATAAAGTATCAATTAAAAAAATCCAATTAATCCTACTTCTCAAAAAGAGACATGCAACGAGAGAAATTTTTTAGCTTTTTTTTTTTTTTTTTTTCACTAATGCATTCAACTCAATATTAAGGTTAAGTACATTCCACTTTTTTTCTTCTTCGAATAAAAATTTTTTTTATATGTTCAATTTTTTTAAAATGTTGCTTTCATATGTGTGAGAATATATAATTTTAACCATAAAATTAAGGAACTTTACATAATAATAATTTTAATTTTTATCTATATTTTTTTAATACCAAAGATATCTTTTTTTTAAAAAAAATTATAAATATTGAGATCTTAATCAAATATATATTAAATATTATTTTTTAAAAATAATTATATAAATCAATTAAATTAAATTTTGATTACAATCTTTATCAATATTTTACCTAAATAAGTTAGCCCAAATTGGATTAAAACTTTCATAATCCTACATCAATTCAATAGAAAATGGCATGAATAAGAGGACAGGATCCACAAAATCAGCTAGAGAAAGTGAAGTCCCTGATAGGCCACATGTTCTCTTTCAAGAAGTATCACATAGTTACAAACAAAATCTGTCATTTTCTTAAAGCAACCAAATATATATATATAAGAAGGTACTTGTTGTAAGTTACACCAAACAACAACTAGGAAGGTAGCGCCAAGGGAAACGACAACAACTATAATTTTTAATGTCATAGTGAGATTTAGATGAGAGATAGAGAAGTGCATTTAATTATTTAAAATGTTTTATAATATATATATATATATATATATAATTATTATAAATTAAATTTTGATTATTAAAATTAAAATTTTAATATTTTATTGATACATCAAATGTTATTCATAATAATAATAATAATAATAATAATTATTATAATTATTATTATTATTATTAGGTTAATGATTAAGGGTTTAAGCTATAAAATATTAAATCAATATTAATTCATATTAAGT